TTTGGTGAATTTATGCAGTTTTTGCAGTCAAAACATTTTTTTTTTGCGAAGGTGAAAACAAAATGACTGATTTGTTTTAAAATCGGTGATTTTTAACATTTTCTCCTTATTTGTAACTAGATTTGCATGTTCTGAAGGTCGTTTTGCAAACCTCACTAATTAAGAGAAATAATGGTTTCCATTCTGTGTCTCAGTAAGGTTCTTTGCCTTGCTCTCTGTTAGGTAGCATGGCAACAAAAAGTCTTTTGAGAACCAAAGACACTATTTGAAGTTTGATTACCACGCTGTTAGTGTATTCTTGTGTTAAGTTCTGCAGTGGGTGCAGGACAGAGAATACTCCAGTGCTTAACTGTTTCTTGGCACATCATTACCCCTTTTTTCCTTTTGATCAGAATTGGCATAAGGTCTGTCGATTTTAAAAGTAGTCTGATGACTTCTGTCGTACCCTTTTAGTGTGAAGAAAATAAATAGCTGCTGATGCATGTACAGTTCAGGTACTACTTCATGTTTGATCGTAATTTAAGGGACTAGATTTCAAGTTGAGCTTTTAAAGATCACTGTGTAAAATTAAATATAACCCTGTTCTTTGATTTGCTCATGGACACAGTGATGGAAGAGATGCTAGAGACTTGAACCCAGTTCTAGGGATAGTCTGCTGGTGTGTGATCATAGAAAAATCATTTAATATCATTATATATTTGTACTTTACATTAAATGATTATAAAAGAAATTTATTCCATTCTATTTTTCACTACTTTTTAGTGCTGTTGTGAGCATTGAATGTGGTGCTGTATGAGAAAATGTGTTGAGAAATTCATTTGAAGTTCTCCTTTGTGCCAGGCTTCATTCTAAATGTACAAAACTGAGTGAGCAAAATAAAGATATCATATGACAGTGGTAAATCCTATGGAGAGAAATACAACATGGTCAGAGATGTACTGGGGTAGGTTTTGCCACTGTATATAGGGTGATCAGATTTGGGCTCATGATAACGACATTTGAGCAGATGCCTGAAAAAATAAAAATAGGAGAAATAGTATATGGCTATCTGGGGTAAACTATTAAGTGTAAAGGCTCCAAAGGGGTGAGGGGAAATGCATGTATTATTTGAGATCAGAAGGGTTACCAGTGTGGATGGAATGCAGTGAGTGAGGAGGGGAGCGGAGTGTTGGGGGATAAGGTCAAGAAGTTAAAGGGAATCAGATTATTGGAGAGTTATAACCCATTATGAAATATTTATTCAGAGCCCAGAAGACATTGGAAGATTTTGAGCAACTTAAATTTGGAATACTCTGGATACTATTTATTGCTGAGTATAAACTGGTGGGGATGCAAGAGAATAAGGTAACGGTGATTGATTTGGTGATGGATTAGATGTGGGGTGAGTGAGAGAAAGAGAGGTGTCAAGGAAGACTCAAGTTTTTGGTGTGAGCTATTGGAAATATGGAGGGATTATCTTTGCTCAGAGAGGGAAGACTGGGAGGAGCAATGTTTGCTTTTGGGTATTTTTTGGAGGGGCAGGGCCTGGAGTTGGTTTGGGAGTATTAAGTTTACCATGTTAATTGGACATCCAGATGGGTATTGTTTTTTTTTTTACAAACATTTTATATTCACATTAAGATCCACATTTTAGGATTTTCCAAACATTTAAAAAATAACGTAACTGAAGCTTTTTCCTTTGGATATCCTTCCATACTCTCATTAGGAGAATCAGGCCTAGAGTCTCTTTTGAGTAGATGGTACACAGTAGGAAAAGATGAGCCCTAGCTCAACAAATTAGCTTTTTGGCTGAGAGTTTACTCTGCCTCTGTTTCTTCAAGGGTTTAATAAGAATAATGTGAATAGGTGTCCTAGTCACCTTGTACAGGTGGGTATTTTTGATTAGCATTTAAATGTAAGTCTGAAACTCAGGGCTGTATAAATATGGGAATTCTCAGTGTATAGATGGCATTTAAAACCCCAAGCCTGGATGAGATTGCCAAGGGAATGTGTGTAAAATAGTGAAGAGATTGAGTGTGAAGGCTGAGTCCTGAGGCACTGAAGCATTTACAGGTGGAGAGAAGAAAGAAAGCAGACAGTAATTTCTGAAGTAGGGTAACTAAGTGGTGTACTGGATGGAAGCCAAGGGAAGTAAAATGTTTCAAGTAGGGAGGAATCAGCTGTGTCACCTATTGCTGAGAGGTTGATTAAGATGAGGACTGAGAATTGTTCACAGCATTAAACATCATCGAAGTCCTAAGGGACTTTGATAAGAGCTGTTCAATTGAGCATTTGGGTGAGAGGCTGATTGGGGTGAATTTAAAGAAAGAATGGGAGGGGAGGAGATAGAAACCGTAAGTGTAAACTCAAAGAATAATGCCCTTAAAGGGTCAAAGAAAGGGCTGGGGAGGCAACAGGTTAAGGAAAGTTATGCAAGAGAGAGGAGAGGGTGATTACTGGAGTGAGACCCTTGAGTGGGCAAAAGGGGATGGGATCTAGTAGGGTTTGAGTTGAAAGATTTCCATTAGATAGGAGTAGGGACAATTCATTCATGATGAAAAGAAGGAAGAAAGAATATATGCGAAAAGATGCAGCAAGGCTGCTATTTTGTGTGAAATAGAAAGCAAGCTGACCGGTCGAATGTGCAGATAGGGGAAGGAAGTATAAATGAAGAGACAAGGGAAGATGTGAAATAATCATTAGGAAAGTGGGAAAAAAACTAAAAATGTGTTGCAGTTTCTTCCTACCTGCTTACAGTCTACCAAATATAATATACCTTTTCTTTTCAATCACATTGATATAGTAGGGAAAAGGCATTGGGCTGTCATTTAAATTCTGGACCAGGTCTTGTCTCTGATGAGTTGTATGGAGGGGTAGGTGGAGATGTAAGTTCCTTTTACAGTACCATGGAATATGATTCTGAGATATGCTGCTTTTTTCATTGTTTATTGCAGTATGCTCTAATATCCTGAAGTTCCCAGAGCTTCTTGATGTATATGTAGTGTGGTTACTCTGTTAAATGACTGAAGACTCTGTACTTTTATATTGGTGATCTATAATTTCTCTGTGTAAGATAAATTCTAGCCGAAATAAGTAGGTGAAGAGAGGTAACAAACGGCCAGGTAGTTTATTTGAACGCCCCAGTCTAGGTTCCCTAGTCTGTGGAAATGGAGGCTGGGGAAGTCAGTCCCAGCAGGGCAGGCAGCAAGTTTTCAAAGAAGGTTGGAGGAGGGAGAAGATAGGGGGAGGGAGAGCTTAGATTTACAGCTGCGCGAGGATTGGCACATTTTTCAGGTTGGGAGGAGGCAGCAGCTGGGGACTTCGGCACGTCATCAGTGTCTGACGTGCTCACCACTCTCCCCAGTGCCTTCAACAGTACACTCTGCTGCATCAGCTTTTTCTAAGCATTTTTCCCAAGTTTTTGCTTTCAATCTACCTTCTTAATATGTTGATTTATTAGCTTTACGTTTTTACAAAATGAAGTTGTGGACTTTGCTTTTAGTTCTCAACTGAACATAACAGCAATCTTTTTTGGCTTCTGGATTCACAACTAAGTACTCGATGGTTGAATCCCCTAGAATGGAGTAGGCTGGGAATTGAGAAATACAAAAAAATGGTATAGTACGATCTTTATACAGAGGGTGTAATTTTAGTGATGAGAGGGTCTTTGAGATGTTTTACCATGGGGTCATGTTTTAGTTTCTTAATCTTTGTGGTATAAAAGGGCTCTATGAAGTGCAGTATATGTACGTTCCCTCTTTACCTTAATGTGACATGTGTAATAAAGTAAGTTTCATTTATTGGTTCAGTTACATAATACTTTTTTTTTTTAAATCAAGCTTCAGTAGCTTATTTCTGGTAGATTTTTGTAAACCAGAATCAGAGAAGTTGGTTACAGGATATGAAGAGTTTTGCATGTAGGTCACAGCTGAGTATCATTTGACTATAACCATGGCTCTGCTTTTTCATTTGCAGTATTGGGGAGAGTTAAATGTCACACCTGTAACTTTTCTGGTCCCCCAAAATTCAAAAAGGACATTTTTCTTTAAGAAAACCACTGATAGTATTAGGAAATTTAATTATAGACAAAAATATAAGGTGGTTCCCTTATTTAAAAGAAATTTAAAGGAAAGATATTGTGAGATGAAGGGGAAGTTGTTTGTTATAGTCTTTGTGTAAATTACTCCTGTTGTTAAAGCATGTGTTCTGTTTTGATGGTCACTCTCTTGTTTTGTTTTGTTTTGTTTTTCCATGCTTATATAAGGATTTCATCAATGCTTAGAAGAATTTACTTTTAGCTACCTGGGATAAAATCTTACAAAGGTAGAACAAAGAGGTGATTGAGTGGTGATTAAGCTTCTGGGCAGAAATATACCGTGAGAGTCATCAATGGGTAATGAAGTTAGGATCCAGTGAATATTTAGGAGTCTAGCAAAATAGCTCATATAGGTTGAGGGGGGAGTAAAGTCTCTTAGGAGTTAGGGGAACAGAACCAAAAAAACATTCTGAATTTTAGGCCTAAAAAATGACCAAAGAAATATTGTGTCCACATGTACTGTCAGTCTGATGGCAATACCAAGTGGAAAAACCTTATGGTTATAAGCAATGGTAGTATATTTTTGGGTGTCTTAACCTACTTTTAGGGTAGGTATAATGCCAATTTCTAGCTGAAAAATCTTCTGGTTAATTGCAACATTTTTGCCACCAGTAGTTGGTAATTACTTTTTCAGGTGGTGCTTCTTTACTGAATCTGTGTCTGTTGATGTATTTATCTCATTGAGTGCAAGTCAGCTAGCTGCCACATTGTGGCTACTAAGAGGGTTGCTTTTCTGACCATGTCACTTAGGCTCTTGGGCCCAGGCCTTCAAAGGATGTGTTAGCTTTTTGTTTGAAATGAGGTGCTTTTCCTCTATAAAGATTGCTTCTTTTTAGTCAGTAACATGTTTATGGGCTCCACACTCAGATATGAAACTGAAATTGTGGCTAAGCAGTTTTGAGAAGTGTTTGTTTTTCTCTTGCAGGTGTATTCCAGAGAACAAGTCTTCAAACATCTTTACCATATTGACTTTGAGCTGTCAGGGGACTCAGGCTTATGAGGAGGTACTGTCACACAAAACAGTGTCTAGTGAAGACGACAAGAAAGAGGGGAAAGGATCGGAAAAAGAAGCTAAAACACTATAGAAAACCATGGTAGGTTATCATTTATGTTTAGTTACAAAAATTCCAATAGTTTAAAATTGGAAATGTTAACAGTGAGAGGAAGTGAAAAAAAAACAATGGTGTTAATTTTTGGCTCTAGTACATCAGATAAAGATGACATTCTATTCTACTATTTAAGCAAAGCAAATGAGTTCAGATTTATTATGAGCCCTTTAAACCACAAGATGGAGCCCCATGAGCCTGCAGGCCATAAATTATTAAATACAAATAAGAGCATGCTTCTAAAAAATATTTTCTAATAAAATTGGCATTAACAAAGTGATGAAAAGATAGCTAAGGTGACCTTGAACTTGAAATTATATAATTTTTTTTCTAATTTTCTACCTGAAGTTCATTTTTTTCCCATGCAAATTGAAAATACTGAACCAATCCTTTAATTAGAGATATGAATGGTATAGTAGTTTATAAAATGTATGTGTATTTTACTCAAAAAGTCATTTTTCCCACATGGTTTTGAAATAATAGGGCCAAGTGTTGAGTGTAATGGGGACACTGAACTGAATGTCAAGGAAACCTTGCTTTTTGTGGAACATTTATACTTAAATTTGAAGTGTTAGATGAGGTCATAATGTTTAGTGCCTAGTTTAATTGGTAAAATATGCTGAGTTTTTTTTCCCCTGAGTGTTGGTTCTGGAGGATGTGTGAATTTTTTCCCCAAGTATAAGAGAGAAGAGCCTAAAAAAAAAAGTGTTATCAGTGGGAGAAAAAGCACAAAAATATTAATCATCAGTATGTTTGAAATACGTTTAGCAAGCCTGATAGATTTAAGCATTATTTTTAAAAATTGGTTCTAGGGGTTATAACTCAATTGACTTGCTCTTTAGAGAAGCAATTCAAATAGTTCTGGATTGTGGGGGAAAAATGTTAACTTAGAATTTTCTTTGTCATTTAGTTTTATGGTGAGATATGAAAAATGACAGTGACTTGTTTTTTCCCATATGAATTCTCTTCAGCTCATTTATCTATTAGAGTCTTGATAGTCTTACAACTTAAAGAAATATCTTCTATATATTATTTGTTATAGTTGATGAAAATTCCTTTTCTACTTTATTCATTTTAAATTTAGCTTAGCTTTTCTGGTACAGAAATTTTTTTGTTTTTATATAATTTAATTGACAGGTGTTTTCCATTTCTCCTATTGCTGTGCTTCTTAGATCTCAGAATGAGAACTTTATGTATATTCCCATTTAATTTTTTAATTCTTAAAATCCACTTGGAGCTTATTTGAGTAAATGAGATTGTTCTCCAAAAAATGCTACAGTAAACATAGGGGTGCATTTATCTTTGAATTAGTGATTTTGTGTTCTTTAGGTAAACTCCCAGAAGTGGAATTACTGTGTCATGTGGTAGTTCTACTTTTAATTTTTTGAGGAACTTCTATACTCTTCCATAATGGCTGCATCAGTTTACATTCCCACCAACAGTTTACTAAGGTTCCTTTTCTCTGCATCCTCTCCAGCACTTGTTATTTCTTGTCTTTTGGATACTGGTCATTCTGACTGGTGTGAGGTGTTATCATACAGTGTGGTTTTGATTTGCATTTTCCTAATTGTGAGTGGTGTTGATCATCTTTTCATGTGTCTATTGGCCATCTAAATGTATGTCTTTGGAAAAGTCTGTTCAGGTCCTCTGCCTGTTTTTTTTAATTGGATTATTTGGTGTTGAATGATTTCTTTATTTTGATTTCTTTCTATATTTTGGTTATTAATCCCTCATCAGATATATCATTGCAAATACATTCCATTCTGTAGGCTGTCTTTTTGTTTTGTTGATGGTTTCCTTTGCTGTGCAGAAGCTTTTTAGTTTGATGTAGTCTTGCTTGTTTATTTTGATTTTGTTTCTCTTTCTAGGGGAGACATAACCAGAAATTATTATCAACGCTGATGTTCAAGGGCTTCTGCCTATGTTTTCTTTTAGGAGTTTTATGTTTCAGGGCTTATATTTAGGTCTTTAATCCATTTTGATTTTATTTTTGTGTATAGTATAAAATAGTGTTCCAGTTCTTTTGCATGTAGCTATCCAACATTTATTGAAGAGACCTTTTCCCTATTGTGTATTCTTGCCTCCTTTGTCATATATTAATTGACCATATTATGTGTGGGTTTATTTCTGGATTCTCAGTTCTGTTCCATTGTTCTATGTGTCTGTTTTTGTACCAGTGTCATACTGTTTTGATCACTATAGCTTTGTAGTATAGCTTAGTATCAGGAAGCATGATAGGTCCCCAACTTTGTTCTTCTTTCCCAAGATTGCTTTGGCTATTTGGGTTCTTTCATGGTTCCATACAAATTTTAGGATTATTTGTTCTAGAGCTTTGAAAAATGCCATTAGTATTTTGAAAGGATTGCATTGAATCTGTAGAGTGCTTTGGGTAGTATGGCCATTTTAACAATATTAATTCTTCCTATCCATGAACATGGGCTATCTTTCCATTTATTTGTCATCTTCAGTTTCTTTCATCAATGTCAGTTTTCAGTGCTAATTCTTAGATATTTTATCCTTTTTGATCCAGTTGTAAATAGGATTGTTTTCTTGATTTTCTGCTAGTTCATTATATAGAAATGCAACATTTTTCTGTATACTGATTTTTTATCCTGCAACTTTACTGAATTCATTTATTCTAATGGTTTTTTGGTAATGTCTCTAGGGTCTTCTATATATATAGTATCATGTCATCTGTAGATAGTGGCAGTTTTACTTCTTTCTTACCAGTTTGGATGCCTTTTGTTTCTGTTTCTTGTCTTATTGTTGTGGCTAGAATATCTGGCCATGTTGTATAAAAGTGGTGAGAGTGGGCATGCTTGCCTTGTTCCTCATCTTAGAGGGAAAGTTTTCAGCTTTTCACCATTGAGTATGATGTTAGCTGTGGGTTTATCGTATATGGCCTTTATTATGTAGAGTCATGTTCCCTCTCTACCCACTTTGTTGAGAGTTTTTATCATGAATAGATGTTGAATTTTGTCAAATGTTTTTTCATATCTATTGAGATGATCATACAGTTTTAATCCTTCCTTTTGTTAATGTGTTGTATCACATTGATTGATTTGTGGATATTGAACCATCCTTGCATCCAGAATAAATCCCACTTGGTTGCTTTGAATGAATCTTTTAATGTATTTTTAAATTTGGTTTGCTAATAATTTGTTGAGAGTTTTTGCATCTGCATTCTTCAGGGAGATAGTGCTCTGTAATTTTCTTTCTTTGGAGTGTGTCTTTGTTTTGGTATCATGGTGATGGTGACCTTGTAGAATGAATTTGGAAGCTCTTCTTCCAATTAATTTTTAGAACAGCTTGAGAAGGATGAGTCTTAACTCTTTTTACAATATTTGGTAGAATTTGCCTGTGAAGCCATTTAAGTGATTGATTTACTACGTTTACTATTTATTTTCTTTACCAGTGAAAATTTTCCCCTTCATAATTTTCTTGCCTCTAGTTATGGCTTTTCCTTTTCTTCTTAAAGAAGCCTCTTTAACATTTCTTGTACGGCCAGTTGAGTAGTGGTGAACTCCTTTAACTATGTTTATCCAGGAAACTCTTTATCTTTCCTTTAATGCTCAATGATAACATTTTTTGGGTATTGGTTGTAGGTTTTTTTCCCCCTGAGCACTGCTAATATAATATACCATTTCCTTCTGGCCTGTAAAGTTACTGCTGAAAAATCAGCTGATAGCTTTATGGAGTTTCCCTTGTATGTGACTCATTGCTTTTCTCTTGGTGCATTTAAGATTCTCTCTTTATCTTTAATCTTTGAAATTTTTATTATTATGTGTCTTGGTGTGGACCTCCTCAGGGTCATCTTGTTTGGGTTTTTATTCTTTTTTCTTTCTGATATTCAGCTTGAGTGCTTTTCATTACTCTGTCTTCTAGGTAGCTGGTCTGTTCTTATTCAGTCTCTTTGCTGTTGATTCCCTGTAGTATATTTTTCATTTCATTTATTGTAATTTTTTAACTCTGGGTATTTTTTTTGCTTTTCTGCTGTTTCTTTTTTTTTAATTAAGGTATTATTGATGTACAATCTTATGAAGGTTTCACATGAGCAATGCTGTGATTACAACATTGTGATTGCAATATTATCAAGTCCCCTCCCACACCCCATTGCAGTCACTGTCTGTCAGCATAGTAAAATGCTATAGAGTCACTTCTTGTTTTCTCTGTGCTATACAGCCTTCCCCATGACACTCCTACATTTTGTGTGCCAATGCTAATGCCCCTTAATCCCCTTCTCCCTCCCTCCTCACCCACCCTTGCCAATCTCTTCCTTTTGGTAACTGTTAGTTCCTTCTTGGAGTCTGTGAGTCTGCTGCTGTTTTGTTCCTTCAGTTTTGCTTTGTTCTTATACTCCACAAATGAGTGAAGTCACTTCATACTTGTCTTTCACCACCTGACTTATTTCACTGAGCATAATACCCTCTAGCTCCATTCATGTTGTTGCAAATGGTAGGATTTGTTTTCTTCTTATGGCTGAATAATATTCCATTGTGTATATGTACCACATTTTCTTTATCCATTCATCTACTGATGGACACTTAATTTGCTTCTATATCTTGGCTATTGTAAGTAGCGATGGATAAGTATTGAGGTGCATGTATCTTTTTGAATCAGGGATCTTGTTTACTTTGGGTAAATTCCTAGGAGTGGAATTCCTGGGTCAAATGGTATTTCTATTTTTAGCTTTTTGAGGAATCTCCATACTGCTTTCCACAATGGCTGAACTAATTTACATTCCCACCAACAGTGTAGGAGGGTTCCCCTTTCATCTCATCCTAGCCAGCATTTATTGTTTCTTGTCTTTTGGATAGTGGCCATCCTAACTGATGTGAGGTGATATCTCATTGTGGTTTTAATTTGCATTTCCCTGATGATTAGTGATGTGGAGCATCTTTTCATGTGCCTATTGGCCATCTGAATTTCTTCTTTGGAAAAATGTCTGTTCAGATCATCCACCCACTTTTTAATTGGGTTATTTGTTTTTTGGGTGTTGAAGCATGTGAGCTGTTTATATATTTTGGGTGTTAACCCCTAATGAGATAAGTCATTTATGAATATATTTTCCCATACTGTGAGATGCCTTTTTGTTCTGCTGATGATGTCCTTTGCTGCACAGAAGCTTTTTAATTTTATGTACTCCCTTTCATTCATTCCTTTTTGCTTTGTTTCCCTTGCCCAAGGAGATGTGTTCAGGAAAAAGTTGCTTATTTATATTCAAGAGTCGGGAAAAAGTTGCTTATTTATATTCAAGAGAAGTCTAAATTGATTCTTAAATATTGATAACCAAACAACAACAAAAGAGTCAAGACTGATAAAACTGCAAAGATTTTATCTTGCAGTAAAGACTTTAAAACAACATATTTATTATCTACTAGCACATAATTTCATGAAAGTGAAGACACTGTAACCCCCTTTAAATGGAATACATTTGGCTTTATGGAAACTTACCAAGTTATTCTTGGTCATTTTACAAGTGTCTTCATGGTGTTTGTAAATTTGGAAATAGTCAAAGGTTTTTGGATGTGTGTCTTATGAGTGTGAAGGATCTACTTTATTAAATTTTCATGAAATTCATCCTATTTCTAGACTCTAATCTGCTGCACTTATTTCTGGGCCAGCATGTCATTTTAATTACTGCTGTTTCAGTTTTTGATATTTTGTTTTAGCATAATGGTACACCCATAGTATATTTCTTGATGGTCTTATTGACTCCCCGCGGCCCCCCCCACCCCCGGAATAAGCTTTAAATTTATTTTTGTTGAGTATTAAGTAAATCTATCCTGATGGAATTTTTTTTTTCCCCCACCCAAGAGATTTTATTATCTGAAAGAGAAAATGGCTGCCCCCAGAGAGAGGGAGCAGCAGCTCATGGGTGAGGAAGCGTGTTTTTAAGGAGTAGGGGTAGGGTGTGTTCTGCATTGGTGATTGGATCTTAAGGGGTGGGCGACCATCTGGTTGGTGGTGATTGGATCTTAAGGGGTGGGGGTCTTAGCGTGCCAGAATTTGCCTTCATTCCCATCTTTTTCTTTTCTTAATTGGGCCTCTGGGGAACTGGGCATAGAATCTCATTCTCTAGCTACTTCCTGCTGGAAGGGGGCATAGATTCTGGGGTTAGCCAGGCCATTGATGTAGAGTTGAGGAAGGGTGGGCATCCTGAGATGATTTGTGATGTCATCTAGCTGGTTTCCTTATTCTTCGTGAGAAGGCCTTGATAGCCCTCAGAATGACTCAAGAGACAAGGCCCCATGCAAGAGATTTTATTATCTGAAAGAGAAAATGGCTGCTCCAAGAGAAAGGGAGCAGCCTCCTGATGGGGTTTTGATTGAGGCTATAACACACATTTATAAATTACTTTGGGCAGCTGATTCTTTTGTAGCATGTATTTTCCCCATTCTGGTGTTTGGAGTGTCTCCTATTTATTAATTTATTTAAAAAATTAAAGCTTGCACCAAAGATTTGAATGCCAAGTGATAAACAATATTCTAATGGGATTCATAGTTTTTCTGTAGTGTTCACACATAACTTTGTATTTTGTATTATTACTGCATTATGAAATCTCAGTTTTTCAAGGTGCAAAAGTCTCTAGCAATTTGAAAAGGAGTGATTGGGTATTACAAGTCAGTATCATGCATTTCTAAATACCCTCTTGAAGCTAGGAAGTATATATTTCCCTTTAAAAATGCAGAGTTTAAGGGTGCAGTGGAAAATCCTTATGTAACTTTTGACATCCCCAAAACATAACTACTGAAAGCCTACTGCTGACTGGAAGGAAGCCTTATTGATAACATAAATAGTTGATTAACACATATTTTGTATGATATATGTATTATGTACTATATTCTTCAATAAAGTAAGCTAGAGAAAAGAAAATGTTTTTCAAATAATCTCAAATCTCCAAAATAATTTCCAGTATATTTACTGAAAAAAATCTGCATGTTAGTGGACCCGCACAGCATGTCCAAACCCTCGTTGTTCAAGGGTCAACTGTATCAATTTCTTGGAGATGTTCTGTGATAAAGATAACCTTCTTTGAAGTGTTATTCAAAACATAGGTTCAGCTGAAAGGTAGCATATACATAATACTGAGTGTGACCTGGGTGAATCTTACCAAAATATGACTGAAAGCTTTCCAATTTTCTATTGTGGAGTTCAGTAGAATGGGGTTTTACTTCTCATTCCTGAGGCAGTTTTTTATCTTCTCAACTAACTGTTTCACAGGTGTTCGACAATTAATGCTATGATTTGACTTAAATATATTTGTAGGCCATTCTTTTCACGCAATATTTCTTTCACTGAAGTTGTTTTTCTTTCTCCTTCCGACAGAGATCTATTAGATCTTTTGCCAATGATGATCGCCATGTTATGGTGAAACATTCAACAATCTATCCATCTCCGGAGGAACTCGAAGCTGTTCAGAATATGGTGTCCACTGTTGAATGTGCTCTTAAACATGTCTCAGACTGGCTGGATGAAACAAATAAAGGCACAAAAACAGATGGCGAGACAGAAGTGAAGAAGGACGAGACTGTAGACAATTATTCCAAGTAAGTGTGGCCTGATGTTTGTAATGCCATACTGTAGTGCCCAGAAGAGCCCAGGGCCCTGTCCTACTGGGTTACATTTGGCATTGGTGTTCTTTGGGTTTTCTCATTTATATGACTGTAAACAAGGAAATAAATGTTAACTTTGAAAGTAAAACAGGAAAAGAATGATGGTTAGACCAGAGAAAAAAAGGATGCACCTTTTCAGGATGTCTTTTGAGAAAGTACACCAAGTCCTTTAATATGTTCTCTTTTGGAGGCTATAATATGTCATCTTTATCATGTCTTGGTTTGGCCCCCTAAATTCAGAAATAGTGTTTTTGGTTTCTGGGGGAATCATAAAATGTTATTTTTGTCAGGTATTTTAAAATCCTGGTGTAGAAGAAAGAGTGCAGGAAAATGTATTCTGAAGGTATTTTTTACTGTATCTACCTTGTTGGTTCCTAGGATCCAGCACACCGTTTTCTTTATGCTCATTGGATATTTATGGAATGAATGAGGCCTGATGGGAGCCAGACCTTCAGCAATTACAATAGAATATTCTCAGTGCTATAAGAATAGTAAGGGATTAGTGAGATAAAGCTGAATGATAACTGGAGTCAGATCATGAAACTTTTTATGCCATGCTAAGCTTAGAGTTACTGTTTTGAGCAATGTCACTATGACAGGAATAAGGGTATGATTTACTTAGAAAGTTGTAGCTCCTTTGACTGTACTGTATTAGGATTAAAAGCATTACTTTGACTACAGCTTGTAAATTGAAGGTAAGTGTTTATAGTATTACAGTTTTCAATTCTCAATCAGTGTGATAAGTTGAAAAAGAATAGTGGGAAACTATTGATAAATTGATTTTCTTCAGTGAAAGATAGTGTAATCTTTTCATCTTCAGTTGAAAGATAATAAGTTACCAGTTTTTAGCTAAAGAACATTATTCCTTGACTTTAGTAACTTTATGTGTATATATACATTGTGACTAGTCATAGTCTTACTGGCTTTACAGTTCTTGGCAGTAACTTTGTTGCATGTAATGACTTTAAAAAAGATAACTGCCAGATTTTGGGGTTCATGGTAATTAGTAATATCCAATAATCCAGCTATCTGTATCCTCAGCTCCTGTGCAAGTTAAATAGACATGCATTCCAGATATTTAAATTACACTTTGGAATGTGTTATGCCCTTTAAAACTTTTTTTTGTGTTAAAATATATATAACAAAATTTGTCATTTTTAAGTGGAGATTCATTTTCAGTGAAGTTGAGGCCTTTTTAGTTTATCTTCTGTTGTTTGTTCACAAAGCTAGGCAGACTTTTGGGAAAGTGTTCCAGTAGGCTTTTGCTTAACCAGATCAAGTCACTGTGTTTTAAACATTTTTAAAAGATAATGTGCCCTGCACTTTGGTTTGAAATTTTAAATATAGCTCTATGTATGGATACTCTTGAGTGTCTCTGTAAAATCTTTCCAGTTGTGAAACAACCCAGGTTGAGCATTTGTCTATGATTCTTCCCATGTGGTGGAACTCCAAGAGTGCAGAATGATTGTGTCCTTATTTTTGTATAAAACAGAGACAGGGACATCTAAAAACAGAGCTGTGTTCTGGTAATAAGAAATGTATTGTGCGCCTGATGTATGCTAAGTACTAGGGAGGGCACAAGGGTGGGTGAGGGCCAGCTTCTATTTATTAAGCACCTTCTTTTGCTTGGCACCATTAGGTAGCTTTTGTGCACTCTTATTTTATCTTTTTACAGACTGACTCAAATTCAAATTGTACAAGGTCCCACTATTTGTTTTATTGGGAATATTTGAACTCTGTTCTTAATTTTAAGTAATTCTCTATATTTGGGTTGCTTGCTTTACAATACCTCCTATACTCAAATTCAGGACTGAATTAGGACCTCATTTCTCTACTCAGTTATGCTTGCTGTCTTCTACATGATAAAACCAAGATGTTATAATTATGATATACAATTTAATAAGAGAGCTAGTAGTGGCTACTTAATAGCTGCCATTTATTGAATAACTGTACCAGATTGTTTTTCGTAGAAACCTACTAGTCTCTATTATTATTTTCCCCATATATACCACCCCTATTTTACCTGTGAAATTTCCATTGCTTCAAATTTGCTTGTGAAAATATAATCATGAATAAACTTTAACTTGTTTAAGGTCACTGAATGTGTGTGTGTGTGGTGGAGCCAAGATTCATATTTAAGTCTGTCAGACTCCAGGTCCAGTTTTCTTAGCATCTTTTCTTGAGTTTCTCATGACTAAAATGTGAAAAGCAAAGAGCAGGGAGAGATTGCTGGTTCTAGGGATTAGAAAAAAACTTTATGAAGAAGGTAGCATTTGCAGAAGGTGGGTAGGGTTTTGGCAGGCACTGAAAGTGGGAGACAATTTCAGCAAAGATCTAGATGTGAGAAAGCATAGGGACTGTTTGAGGAATAATAGCTATTGTTTATTGAGCTATTACTATATGTCAGGCTCTGGGCTAAGCTCATTACTTATATTAAATTAATTATATTCTCAGTACCACTGTGAGAAAGATGTTATTCCTGTTTTGTTTTTTTCCTCAAATGAGAAAATAGGCTCAGAAGCGTCAAGTACTTTGCAGTTTGTTCAGTGTCACACAGTAACTAATGGAGGCAGGGTTTGAACCAGGAAGTCATGCTGTCTCCTAAGTTGCCTCTCAGTATGCTGAGTGTCTTAAGTGTTCAGTGGGCTGCCAGGAAAAATAACAGGTGGAATGCCATCCATGTGGTGCTTCTGGTTATTCTGGTTGCAGTATGCTTTATATGGCCTATTGCAGATGGAAGAGCTTGTCAGTAAGGACAGCAAAGAGGAGGTTAGTAAGGTAGTCTAGGCGAGAGGCATTAAGTGCCTAAAAAGAAACTAGTTGGAAGGCAGTGGCTTGAGAGTAATTATGGAAGGAGAATATATAAACTATTACTGGATTTGGGAGAATGAGAACAGGAGAGGACAGGGATACAGAAGAAGAAAGAATCAAAGATGACTGACTCTATTATTACTATCAAATAATTCCTTACACTTGGTTACTGTGAGAAACACACTCACTGGTCCAAATTCAGTAAGTGAACACAGAGACAAAGAACAGCAGAGCGAGGCTTATAATGATGGTCTTGCAAGGTCGGGTGTCTGGTGGGCAGGCACACCTGGGGAGTTTGGCGCCAATAATTTATCTCCTAGTACGCAAGTCCCTCCCCTGGTTCCTCATTGGCTGAGTACTACAGGGTTCACATTCTTTCCCAGACGTCGCCTAAGCCAGTTATGTCTTTCCTTTACATTTGTCTTAATTTTATTGGTAGGTTTAAAAAACTCAAACAGGTATTGCCAGGCCCTTATCAATTCCCCCACCCCAACTCTCAGCCTGAGCAGCTTCCACTATGTGGCCCTTTGTTAATACCTTACTGTTAAAATGCTTAAACATCCTAGTGGGAATAAATCACATTTAGGTTTTATACTCTTTCCTAACAGTTACCTACTTTAAAACACTTTCTTTCTGTACTTGTTCCATCCTTAACGTTTTTCATTGATTTAATGTTTATTAAGCTCTAAGGTGTGCCAGGCACTGAACCAGGGGCTGGATTATTTATAACTTCCTGTCCTGTTTTCACTGGTACAGTTTGTTTTTCTCCTTTCTCTAGTTCATTCTCTACTCCACTGACTTCTGCCTAGCCCTGTTGATTCTTTGCCTACAGTTAGAATGACCTTTTTTCTGTCTAACCTAGTCAAGACAATGCTGAAGTCAGAATTTCACATTGCCTTGCTTGACTTCTCTAGTTTTGACCTTCCCTCTTCTGAACTTGGGAAGCAACCATAATAACTGAGTGTTGTGGTCAAACCAGCTTGGCTTTGAATGGAGGCTTTGCCATTTTTTGCTCTCTCTGTGAACTTGAAAAATTAATTAGCTTTTCTGAGATTCACATTCCTTGTCATTCAAATGCAGGCTTGTTGTGATGTTTAAATGAGAATTTGTGTCATGAGAGTTTGTTCTAAGATGTTGTTTTCCTTTCCCCTTTTAAGCAGGTTACTGCTTTTTGCTTAACTGTACTGTAAGTCTGAGGAGCAGAAGAGATTGGATCTCCTTTAGTATGTTTTCCATACTCAAATGTTTGTTTGCTTGTTGAATGACTGCTAAGCTTAGTTGCATTTTCACTTGTGATTAAGAGAAATGAATAAGTAAGAAACTTAATATTAAGATCAAGGATAGATGTTAACATTACACTTTTACACCATTCATGACTTGATGTTCTTTGAATGTTTGTTCTTTTAGCTACTACTGGATTTGGAATGCATATACTAGCAGAGTATCTTTTGTCTGTTCATTCTTTCCTCAACTCTTCGCTTTTATCACATTATTTTGCTTTTCCCATACACTTTTGTGGATTCCTAAAAAGGTACGCCCTGAAGGATGATAAGGCTCCCCTAGCCGATAGCCATTTTGCAGTGGTGGATATGGAGCCCACAGGTACCACCAGGAGTAGAGTTCAGGTCTGTTAGATTTCCACCCTCATGCTTTTTCAGAGACTAACATGTTGTTCATGTTTCTCACGAGTTCTTTAATTATTAATAGAAAGATAATAGGAAGAAGTTAAAAATTTTTTTAAAGATGTTTAAGGCTATATAGTATTTTTGGGTTTTCTTAAGAAAATAGATCTAAAAAAGAATTAAGAGATCTATAGCCTGAAATTTATGCTCTCTCTCTATTGATTCTTTAGGGAAGATAGATACTTATGAGCCTAAAATCTGAGACTTAATTTTGTGGAATTTTGGATATCTGGATATATATACTTCCTTTATGAGTTCATATGGATATCTTGGAAGAAAAGTATGCTAATTAAGTTATGGTTTGGGAAATAGGTTATAAAAGTAATCACTCAGACTTTTATTTTTAGGGATCAAGGTGGTCGGACATTGTGTGGTGTAATGAGAATTGGCCTAGTTGCAAAAGGCTTGCTGATTAAAGATGATATGGACTTGGAGCTGGTTTTAATGTGCAAAGACAAACCCACAGAGACTCTGTTAAATACAGTCAAAGATAATCTTCCTGTTCAGATTCAGGTGAGTACTGTTTAATGCACCTCTAGGAGAATTTGTAAAAAGGTGAAAATAGGTAGTGACCCTGATGAATTCATTAACAAGAAATTGGTAATGAATTTAGTAAAGGGTAGGTAAAGACAAAAGTAATACTGTTCGTCTGGGTGAGTGACTCATCCATCCCATTTAAAGCAAACTTCTGGTGATTAGTAAGTACTCAGGAGGTATCCACCAAATTAAGATGGGTCTATTAAGGTACAGTCATAAATTTTTCAGGTAGATCTTGCTGAGAGTCTTCATGTTTTCCAGACTAGGTGTCTCAGCATTATAAAATGCTTGGAAAGGTTGGTAAAACACAGAAAAGAATTAAAAGAGCAAAAAGAGCCTAGGTGACTGGAGACTTTCATAGATGATACCTTTTAAAATTGAAGAGTCCGTTAATTTAACAGTTGTCTGTTCATTCTGTTAATAGAAAGTCACTGTTAATTCCTTGTTTCCAAACTTTTTTCACATTGGGATACATTTAGAAAATTCTCATGTTGGTATGCTTCCTGGAGGATCCTGCTGAAGGCTGAAGGCTTCTCAGGGCTGAAGGCTGCCAGTTGGTCTGGAGCCTTGATCACCTTGGGACATGCTCTTCCAGACTCCTCCAAGAGCCATTTGCATCCCTGACTGAGAAGCTGTGATCATATTTCAGTTTCGGATGTGTTATCTGTGGTATAATGTAGATTATAGATTTTTGATAATTTCATATCAGTTTGTCCTTATATCCACGTTAAATAAATAGGTATCAGCCCAAGATCCAGACTTTGAGTTGTTGAATGCACTCTTTTCTTTCGTTGATTTTTTAAATTTGTATTTCTTCTTAAAAGGCTCTTTTTCCCAAAGTAGTATGAATTCTAAATTGGTTTTTATTAAGTTTTGCTACTGGATCATTTTCTTTCATATTCACCAATTGCTCTTCAAAACCATCTTCTTGATTTTTTTTACCTGCCATTCTTGGCACTCAAATTTGTGTTACTTGTTGACACAGTTCCTTATATTAATTTTTGGAGTGCTACTTTATTTACTTATCGTTCTGCTGTAGATAGTAAGATACGGTTTTCTGAGTGACCTAACAAACATTTGACTTTACTATTTTCAATTCTGATGAAGAAATGTTTCTGGTCTTTCATAGGGTGAGATTTTTATTTCTTTGGAAAAATTACTTTAAATCCTTTTGTGATCATTTAGGGAGGGAGAAGTGGTAGGCAACATGGAGTACAGTAAAGTTTAAGAAATGGAGAGCTCAGTAACTGGGGTTTATGGTTAACTATTAGAATGTTAATAAAATTCCTCTTGTTTCTGTTCTTGTATTTTAAAATTTAATCTGTATTTCTGCTTCTATTGTAGTGAACATTGATACTCTTAAGTCTATAATAAAACAATACTTAAAAAGATTGGACATAAATGATCTTTCAACCATCTCATCTCCTTTCTGTTCACTTTAGTGAGTCCAATTTCTGAAGAGAGTGGTTGTATTCCCCAAGTGTGTCAGGGTTGAAAACCAGTCCTGTAATAAATCAGAGTTCTTATTCTGAACATCTATCATGTTTCTCCAGTATTGAAGATGCAGGAAATTTTGCCAAGCTATTATATGCAATAATAGAGCTTTCTCTCTGCAGATCACAACTGTGTGAACTCTGCATTTTTTTTCTCTCCTTAGTGAGGGTCTTTATTTCTGGGAACCACAGTTTTAAAATGTTCTTGTCAAGTTAGCAGGTGTTGAAGGAGGGACCTAGTAGAGTGTGCATGCTGTGTAAATCATTCAGATTTGAAAAGGTTGGGCTAGAGAACACTAAAAAAGATGTAAATATCTTTAGATCTTTGAAAGCCTTCTTGGAAAGATATAAGTAGACTACTCCTGAGACCAGTGGTGGACATTATGAGGAACATGTTTCAATAGAATATAGCCAGTAGAGTTATCCAACAGTGAAACCTGCTGCCTTATTTGACTTGTTAGATCCATTACTATATAGGTGTTAGGATAAAGGTACCCAAATAAAATGGGGATGTAATTGTGCCCCCTCAGATCAAATTGTACACATATACATACATGTATATGCCCATATACATACATATAAGCACACACATGCATTATTGTTTTTTATTCATAATTATTACTGATATTTCAGCAAATAATTTTAAGTGACTCCTACCTTCACTCTGGCCTCACCCTTGTTTTCTTGGTGTTTTTGTGGAAAACCAATCTCTGATATAACATGATATATCTTATTTTCTTAAGAATTAAAAATCTCTTTCCTTAGCTCTTAACCATAGCAAAACCTTCAGTTATCTAAAGACCTTAATTAATTAAGGTTGTACCATACCTTTTCTCTAAATACTCATTTCTAGGGTGATTTTAGAACTTCCTTAATTTAAGCAAGGGAGGAAAAGAATTGACCTAAGCTAGGAATCACTTATAATTAGGCTAGCTCTAAATCATACCATATGTTTATTACTTTAGATATGTCTTCTAGTGATTTGCATGCATAATTGGAAATTTAGTTTGACTCATTCTTTCACGGACATCCTTAATGCTCTTGTAGTGGCATAATGAATATGAGCAGTTTTATGCTTTTTCTCTGTATTCTAGTTCTGGTACTTCCAGTCACTATATCACCTTTCCTTTCCTCAAGATTTCATCTATTCAAACTTAGGATAATGAATTTTCTACTTCCTGTCTCTTTTGGAAAGTGTAAGGGTAAAATGCTATTTTTCTGAAAAAAGGCTTTGAGAACTTGTAATATACACTGATGAGCAGAGACTCAGTAATGTTACCATTCAACTATTTATGTCAGGTAATAGTTACTAAATTTCACCACCAAGAAAGGTCCTGTATAACTTAATAAACTATATATTGAATGTATAATAATATATTTAAATATAACTTAGTATATGATTCTAATTGGTGATTATTTTATGGAAGGCCCTTATATGTGTGTAATTCTATGTTAAAAGAAGCAATGTACATTTCCCTGTGGGTGGCAGATGGCTTGTCCCATAATGATAGGTCTCATGGAATACTCTGAGACCTATCCTTAGGAAAGTAAATTGTTTATATTTTTTCACCGGTGAGTGAGTGTGGGTAGATCCTTTCATTCATTCTGATTTAACTGTCTTTGAAAATCTACATAATCTTGTATTTGTAAGTCGTTAGAAAGTAGGAGTTCCTGTGTAGTCTGTCCTCTCAAGAAAGGTGTTGATTTAGAGAGCATTCCCACCAATTTGTTATTATGATTCTGCAATAGTTCTCCATAATAATTTCAAGAACAATAATTTACCCTTTATCACATAATTATGCTGTTGGTGTCTTTCAAATATTAGAAAGAGTGCTTATAAATTTTGTTTAATGATTGTATGGTTGACATTGTGGTTGCTTTTTGAGGAATGGAAAGAGGATTTGCTGGTAAGTTGGAAGGAAAGAGAGGTATCTCTAACAAACTAGCTAAAGACTTTATTCTTTCAGCACAGTAACACTAAGAGTTAATGACATTTGAAAACTAAGGGGGTATTTTTTTTTTGAGATTTTAATTAATTAGTGTTTTTGAAATCTTGGTGACTTTCAGAAACTCACAGAAGAGAAGTATCAGGTGGAACAATGTATAGATGAGGCATCTATTATAATTCGAAATACAAAAGAGCCCACGCTCACTTTGAAGGTGATACTTACTTCCCCTGTAATTAGGGACGAATTGGAGAAGAAGGATGGAGGTACACATGTGTATATATATTTTTTACTTGTTTGTTTTGTTTTTTATATAAGACCTCTCTTGAATGTCGACTGTGCTTTATGGGTTTAAGAAATAACTCCATAAAATAAATAATAATCTTCATTTGTTTTATGCCACTCATAGTATTTTAAACAGTTTTATTTCTACATAATCACTATATTTTATAAAAATGTATACATTTGAAATATAAAATATGTTAATTCAAAAACCTATGCCTTTCATTGGTCTTAACTCTGGTCTTCATTTTTGTAATATTCTGGTGTTATGTCCTAACTTGTCTTAGTATTGCATTATTACTGGTATCAGCTAACCTATTCTTCGTAGTTTGGCTGGCTGTCAGGTCTGATTTTAGGAGGAAATGTTGTCCAGAACAGTATTGTTTTCAAATTTATTCACTTACTGTTTGAAATTATTCATTTGTTGCACATTGCTCTTGACTCCTAATAACTATGTAACCTTGTAGAATTTATTCTTTACCTAATTGCCCATGTATAAATATGTTTTACAATGTAAGAGAGATAAATTGGGGAATGTTTTTTTAAGTACATAATCTTAGTATATTTTTTTCTGGGAAGTTTGATCCTGTTAACATGTGAATATGACATATGTGGGATCATGTGTTAAACTAGCTTTCTTTTATAGTTAAGAATTACTGTGTGGCAATATCATCCTTATAAAAGTAGAATGAGGAATCTATTCAATTTTGAGAAGTAATGTTAGAGCTGGGCTTCCTTTTCTGATGTTTTTATCCTGTCAAGTTACTGTGTTTCTGTGTCTTGCCATGTGATATTTCTAGAGACTTGAAACTTGCCACATGATACTTCTCCCATGTCAGACCCTTGCCCAACTGGCTTCTCTCTGTCATGACAGCTCAGAGGCACTGTGGTGTCTGGTCTGGGCCAATGGGGACTCCCTGTTGCTGTGTGTTCACTAGATGTTCAGCGAGTCCCATTGCTTAGTCTCCTACCTGAAATACCAGTGCAGTAAGAAATATTGGTCAGTTTCTTATTTCAAGTTGGTGATAAAGATAGAAAAAAACACGTTTACCAGTGACATCGGAATGTTTTGTAGACATGATTCATAGGATCTCTTAAAGTAAAAGCGATAGACTCCTTTTAAAAAACGTTTTTTGGAGTAACTAAAATCAGCAATCCCATACCCAACAGATACAAACCAGACACATTTATGAGTCATATTTTAAAATTAAAGGTATCCAGTCTATAATTGGGGTTATAGCTATACTTGTTTTGGGGGGTGCTATATATAGAATCTCTAACACCTCTGAAGAACCACTCTTAAATTGCTTAATTTCTTTAACAGCTTTACATCTCACCATTAACTGTAGAACTATAAAATGATTTCTGAAGTATCAAGATAATTCTGTTAATTCTGGTAAGCTGTGTTCTACTTGACCCTCTAAAACAAATCTTTTCTAAGTATAGTTATAGTTACAGTTATTATTAAAAATTACTTGAGTATAGAGAGATGAGAAAAAGACTGAAGTTGTCAAAGACTACATTAATTATATGTTTGCTTATAGCTGTAGGCATCCTTTACTTTGAAAGTATTAAGAGAACATTACCCTTTTTTCCCCCATGGTTTTACTTTCATTGGATTTTGTCATATTTTTCAGTGATACTCTAAAGCTTAGATTTTTAGTGTATTATACACTTACTAGAAGACTAGTTATTATAGAGTGGAATTTCTAGTAAAGTAGGAGAGTCACAGTCTCTGTTCAAGATTTTGGGTTTCCAAGGATCCCAGGGCTTTCCTTATGAGCTGAATCTCAGCTGATACTAGCATTATCGTGTGGGATCAGGTGAGGTCGAGGAGTCAGCTTGGATCTAATGTTTTACCTGTTACTCCCTCTCCTTTTGAATGACAGCAGAAAGATTGGCTTTGCCGTTGACCTTAACTTCCCAGCGCTGTTGCCTCATTTGTTATCTCCTGTAATTGGCTCCTTTTGTCCAACCTGGCCTTTATCAAAGACAGTTTTTTAATCTTCATTCACCTTCTTGCCTATTTCTGGACAACTCTGAGGATCCAGAATCACAACATTTGAAACCCTGGCTACACAATCTGTAGGACTTTTTCCACACACTGACAACTCTTCCTCACTTGATGCAGTTCTTTTCAACTGCATAGGGTGGAAGCATAAGATTTATTAGAGTCACAGAAATTTTTAAGACTGAGATATATATATATATATATCCCTTTTTAAAAGTCTCCACCTATTTTCTTTCTAAAAGTTAAAAAAAATGCATGGTAGCTTTTCTTGCAGAGACATTTTCTTATAGGATATCAACTTCTCCCTTCTCCACCAAACAGACTATTCACAATATATATTTACTGCATGTCTTTCTCTTCCCTCTCTTCACTTACCACATATTTGGGTAAAGTCTAAATAAGGGAAGAAACACGGTTGAGAGCAGGGAGAACCAGAGGACTGGGGCAGGTGAGAGCACCACACTTACCTCCTCAGGGTTGTCTCTGCAAAAGTGGATCTAACTATTCATTTCAAGTCACTATTTACATTTTCAGTGGCCAGAGTACATAGTGATCATTTTGGCATTGTTTTCTGTTTCACAGGTGAGAGTCCTCTTTTGCTATCAGTCTTTTGTCCATATTCTAACTTTTTACTCAAAGGCCCTGTAGAATAAGTGTTCCCCATTACCACATGCTTCCCACCAGAGAAGGTGTAGGGGAAAAAGTACAGGCCTTGGTGCCTGGCAGCCAAGTGTTCTCTTCTATCAAGTTCCCATCACTGTGTGACCTTGGACAGGTTTCTTCATTTTAATTATAAATATGAGGTTAAATGAGAGAGTTTATGTAATGCAACCTGTACAATACCCAGTACAAAGTAATTGTTCAGTATATAGTGGTAGTTACTGAGCTTACTACTAAAAAGATTTCTGTTGCAAACTTATCTACTCAAACTGCCTTGAGTGCACAGTGAAAATAATGTGCACATGATAGGTCTGAAGAACTGAACTGAAACACAGTTAAACTCTTTAAGTACCCAGTGAAGTGTAGTATTGAAATCAGTATACTGTGTCTGCTGCTGTGCTAATAATGAGCTGGTTTATTATATAGCTGATGATTCAGTGATGGAGGTATCTTTTTTCTTACCCTGTCTTTTATCCCTAAACCTGGAATGGTACCTAATACATCATAGGCAGTCCAAAAAAAAAAAGTGTTAAATGAATTTTCATAGCCAGCATATTGTCCAATTAAACAAGGACTGTCTGGTGTGTGAGAAGTATTAACAATAGGCATCTCAGAATTCAAACAATATGCATTGAAGATTTAGCTCTATTAAGCTATTTTATAACTTACTATGTTATAACCACTTTCTCACAAATGATCTTTTTTTAACCCTCACAAACCCTCTGAGCTAGATAATTGCCCTGTTTTATAAATGAGGAGCGTCTTAACATTTTACCCAGCTCCTCTAAGTCCAGTGTGCTGTCCACTCATTGCTGTCTAGGATGAGGGTGAGAGTTCTCTTAGTTGATTTAGTTATTCTGAGTATCACACAGTCTTAGTTCCTTTGGGTGCTTGTGATTTTAAAACGGAAGTATACTTGCCCTGAGGGTGATAAATCAGCTGTTAATTTCATTTACAATGCAATTTGAAACTAGGAGGATAGAGAAACTACAGAGAGTCTTGTTGTTTAGGCTGTGACAAACCTCTGTCCTCATTGTTGGGGTAGATTTTCAGAGGTTCACAGAGTTCCCCAAGAGTCCCTTTTGTATTGGTCCCAGTGCAAACTTCTGATGTGTCTTGGCAGAAGTTCACTATCATTAGTTCTGCTAGGTGGAAGACATTAGATTCTTGCAGTACAGAGATCACAACTGAGATTATAACGATGCTGCAGGCCTTATTTTCCTGCCTTCCCCAGCTGCTAGACCACTACTTGCCAGTGCAAACCTTTAGCTGTTATTTTTCCAGTGGCTGATTGCCTACTTAGGCATTGAAGAAAAGTCATACTGAGTGACATTTCTATGGTAAATTAGGAGAACAGTGCACTCTCCATTCTACCTTAGTGCTACATTTACCTGTCCACATTATTGTGGCCTGATGTTTTGCATGGACAGTGGCTTGAAGCATAATGTCTGCTGGCTACAAAGCCTCAAGGAATTGAAAGAAGGTGATGCCAGGATATCTTCAGGCTAACCAGAAAATTCTGTCAGCATGAACTCAATAGCTGGGTTTCATCCAAATTGTCAAGGAGTCCTTCATGACAACCCAGCTCAATCATTTTACCTTTAAAGAGCCCAGGTTCCTGACAAATAACTCCTACTTAGCAGGATCATGTTCTGGCTTTTACCAGTCCCATCTTCAGGCTAGTGTTTTTGTGAATGGGCCGAGTTAGCTTGCTTGTTAAGGGATTGAGAGAAACTGACCAACATTTCCTGCAGTATGTGGTGTTTCTGGTCACGGAAATGGAAATTAGATATAATAGACTTATTACCAGTGTTTCTGTTGTTCAATGTTTTATGTACCTTCATGCCCTGATGCTCAGTTATTGAGCCATAAATTTTTAAAAGCTGTTTTTCTTTGGTTTTGGCATTTTTGTCACTCCCTAAGCCCATCCCCCATGCTGTTTCTTATCTATTTGCTGGTCACAGTAGGAAGAAATGAAATGGCTCACAGTTCCATTGTTAATAATTTAAAGATTACATGATGCCTTTTTTTTTAATCAGTAAAGCTTTTTCTTCCTACAAAATTGAAACTCCTACATTAAAGTTCATACAGAAATGTTAAGCTTGATGTTCTCCTACGAGAAGTGGTAGTGTTTTTCCAGCAGCAATTCTCTGATTGCTACGTTAAGTAAGTTATTTTCTTAATGAAAATATATAAAACTGTTTTACTAATTATATAAAGGAAATAGGTGAGCAGGGTTTATAAGTAGCACTGCAGTACCATAGGGCTCTATATTGTTTTAAAATAAGAAACTTGGAAGAAGATAAAATGAGATGATTACTACATCTCCTCTGCTGTCTCCCATCTCATGAATATTCAGACGCTTTGGATCTTTTGGCTTTTGACCATTAGAGCATGAAAAAACATGGCCATCCCAATGGTGATATAAAAGGGGATCCAGTGCAAGGCTTCTGCTCACTGCTTGTCCCTTTCATCTCTTTGTTGTAGAATATACTGCCTCCAAATGTTGACTGTCTGTAGCAAGCTGATGTCTCTATTTTTTTTTTTAAATAAGAATTTGTGGTTATGATTTGACTTTGGGAATGAAAGAAGTCATTAAATATTTTTGCCATTGTCCCCCTTTAAAAATATATATGTTGTGATGAGTGTAAAATGTTACTTACAAGCTCTGACCACTGGATGAAAGAAAGTACCAGAAAGTTCAAAAAGAGTTTTGGTTTGCCATGTTGATTCCTATCCAGACTTCCTCTGTCTTACTCCTCTCTTCCTTTGCCCCACTCCATCTTCCTGACACTCCTACTTGGTGAGAGAATAAGACTTAGTTTGGCTTACTCTTAAAGAATAAAATTTTAAAACATAAGTACAGTCTATACCTTTTCTTGGGATTACAGTACTTAGCAGTCAGTCAACCTGTGTCATGTCTAACTAGAGGAGATCATTCATTTACAGTAGTTTGTTTTAGCTGGTATGTGAGCTTTACACAGCAGATGCTTGTATTGCCCCCAGTTACGCATTTTGACATAAACACATTACAATGAATTGTGTGTTTTGTGTCATAAAAAGACAGAATTAAGTTCAGGACCTAGATCACCTATAAAGTGAATACCTGTGGTGTATTTGTCTGTTTATAAATAAATCCACATTAATAATTTTTTTGAGGTTTCTCATTTTATGAGTGTAAGGAGCTAATGAAATGAGACCCTGTGTTGTGAATTTGTTGGCAGAAGTCCATGTGAAATGGTGCAAATATCTGCGGTAGAGCTCACCTGGTCAGAAAATAAGTATGTAGTACTTCATACTTTAGTGTTGCAGCCAGTAAAGGGACACCATTTTTTCTCTAATAGATGTATTTTCTATTGGGCATTATGCCTTCAGTTGTAGTTAATGGCAAGCTATCATTTAGAATATGTAGTAGATTTGCCATAAGATAGCCTTGTAATAACTGAGGAAACTAAATAATAACCGTGATCTTGTCTCTTATTTAAAAATGTTTAAATATTGTTAATTGGCCCACACAAACATACTATTGAGTCTGTGACTGTCATGATTTTACTAGGGATAAGTGTTGGTGGACTTTTCTATGTATGAGAGAGTTCTTAAAAGAGATATAGTGAAAAAAACAAAAAAAGAATTATTCCCCAGGGAACATACATATGTTGTATGCATTTAAAAATGCACCAAGTCTTCAAAAAGTTTAAAAACCCACTTCCTAGTGGCTTATAGGAAATAAATTAGGCTATCTAAACTTGAATTTACTATCATGTGATATCTTTTCAAATATGGATATTTGTCATTAATCACATGTTTGAATTCTTAATTTTGTTGCTCTGGGCCATCTAATCCAACTTTAAAATGTTGAGGCAAGTCAAATAGCTATAATTAGATAACATTCTTTGCTGCCTCTTAAAAAATCATATAAAATTTGAAATGTTTCAAAATATTTCATATTTTTCATTTTAATACTTTTGGTTTAGAAAAGAAATAATAGAATCCAAGGTGACACTTGAACAAGTTTCCTTCAGTGGGGTCAAGTTTCTATTAATGGTTATCTTGTTAGATGAGTTTGTTTAGTTGTCAAAAAATAAAATTGCCATATTCATTGTATTCTTAGTATTATCTCAAATTGATGACATCAGTTCCTTGAGAACTGATTAGTGAGTAAAATCCCCCCTGTAGAGAAAAGTTGTGATTGCCATTGGTCCCAGATTTCTACTTTTGCTCCCTGCCAAAGGAAAAAGTGTTATGTACCTATTTTGTGCCCTGTGATGTTATATATTATATACATGCTTAATAAAATCCCAGACTGTATGTAGCTGTGGCCATTGATTTGTTAACTGAGTGAATGCCTTTGTGCTCCTGTTGTACTTGTGCACAGAATGGCTTTGATGACTGTTTTTTTAAGTAATAGTACACATAATCTGAGAAGAAAGTAACAAAGCTGAATCATGAAATCTTCTGGGAGTCTTATTAATTCACTCAGACGCTGCTTTCTTTTTATTTTTATTGTTTGGTAATTTGACAGGAACTCCTTGGTCAAACTGTCTTTCTTTATCCCATTTTCCCATTAGAAAAGGTTGTGATGAAAGATCCTCCAGACTTACTGGACAGGCAGAAGTGCCTGAACGCCTTGGCGTCTCTCCGACATGCCAAATGGTTTCAGGTTGGCTCTTTGTTATTATCTTACTGTTATGGTAGCTTGTGCGGGCTTCATTTGGAATACCTGCCAGTTAGTGTTTTCTCTGTACATAATGTATAAGATGGGGGTGCTCTCTATCCTAGAGGGTTATTGTAGGAGTAAATGAGTTAATTTAGGCGAAATGCTTAGTTATAGCATCTATTATAGTTAACAATGTTTAATTATCATATAACCCTTTTTGGTTTAGCACTCTGAATTTCAAATGAAGATTTATAAAATGCAAACATGGGTGAGAAAAGCTAAAAGTTAAGGTACATAATTGCCCAGAATGAGGTTGCCATGATGTTTATAAAAGCAGTTTTAATAATATGCTTCCTTTACCTTAAAATCTGCCATTCTAAATCACAATTTTACTACTTTTAATAATTTTTTGGTTTGCTTGATGACTGGTGAATGACTGGCTAATTAGTATTCATTTTAAAGAACCTATCCATGATCAATGTGCTTAAAATGAACAATGGATTTCAACAGGGGTATTGGAATCATTTTGTTTATTTTAGGCAAGGGCAAACGGATTAAAATCATGTGTAATTGTCCTCCGCATTCTGCGTGATTTGTGCAACAGAGTCCCCACATGGGCACCATTAAAAGGCTGGGTAAGTATTTATATATGGTTAAAAGCAAATTTTGAAACTGTAGTTAGGAAATCCTGTGGAAATTACATTACTGTAAAGTGGCTATAGTCAGAGTTAGCTAAGATGTGCATTCTCTTTCTGTTCAAGAGAAAATAAGAATTTTTATATGAATTCTTTTTAATGCATGTAACCTGTCTCTTCTGCCTCATTATATTTTTATAGAACCTGAGGTATTTTTTCTGACAAAAAGGTCCCATACCTGTTAGAAGTGAATGCCTTTTTGCACTTCACTATACCAATGGATGATTACTGTTCACCTACTGCCATGAAAGCCTCTCTGACTGGCACATTTCTCTTTCAGTGCTACTTCCATTTAAAATAAAAATAACCTGATGTGCCAGTGTAAGACTTCCATACCCTCTTTTTCTTTCTCTGTGTGTAGACATTTAAAAGTAAGTCCATGTTAGTAGTTAAAGTCAGGCAAACAGTACGCTTACCTGATTAAGGACATAGTTTATAGTATACATTGCAAAACTTACTTAATTTGGAAATTACTATGCTTGATCTAATCAAGACCATAGTGAAGAACATTAGAAAAAAGGGTATAAACAGTAATTTAAAATTAATCTAGCAATTACAACTTTGATAGAGTATCATATGAGTTTTTAGTTCATTAAATAGGGGGATTTGGTTCTTCATTTATTCTAATTATAGTACTTGTGCGGGCTGTCTGAAATGAAATCTTACTCTGGTTCAGGTGCTTCCTAGGTTAAGTGGGAGATAGGTGGGCTGGGTTTGAACATTGATTAGTTATTAGCTATTACTAACTTACATGAAGACTTGTTAAATCTTTGTCAAATCAATTACAAAACCATAGTTCAAGTGATCCTTTCAGGGTAACTTTTTGTAACACAAGGAAAGTTTTTGTAACACAATGTCTTCTGAATATGTTGTTTCAAAAATGATTGGTTTAAAAACCCTTGTTGGGGTAAAAGTTGATAATCAAGCTGGGAAAAGTTAATTGGGCCTCAATGTTAAGTTGACTTTCACCTTTTTTGGCCTTCATTGTAGATAGAAATGTCAGCTCACGTTTAACGGGAATCCTTTTAACACTTGGTGCATGTACTAATTTGTAATTTAATATCTTCTAGCCACTAGAGCTTATATGTGAAAAGTCTATAGGTACTTGTAATAGACCTTTGGGCGCTGGGGAGGCCTTGAGACGAGTAATGGAGTGTTTGGCATCTGGAATTCTACTTCCTGGTAAGGGTTCCAAACTGGAGGAAGAAGAATCAGAAAGGTCTCATTCTAGTTTATTTTTCTAAGTATGTGCTAAATTTGTCCTCTGCAAAGGAAAATGATATATAGGAGTTGTTTTGCGTGGAATGTTAGCAACTAGAATATTTAAAGTTGAAAAAGTGCTATAAAACTCTCTCTTTAATAATTGTAATTTATGTTTTATATGTACTAACATAAAAGCTACTAATAAGTTACTGTGTCTGCTATGAATTTGCTTTACCTAGAGCTCTGAATTTGAAAATGCAGATGGTCAGCTAAAATGTATGAAGTTTATTCTGTTTGCAGTCTGGTGTTTAATGTGGAAAAGATAAATTTGGTCTTATGTTACCTATGTGATTCTTTTAAAGTTTTGGGATGATTCACTATGCTGTTGCTAAATGCTAAATTCTGAGAGTAGACCCAGTTTGACCTTAGATATACAAGTGTCTTATATACAATGTATAAAATAAGGACATTTAATGCTACATTGAAAATGAGAGTGTGTCCTTTTTATTCCATTTAATCAACAAAACTTTTAACCCAGTTCCTCAGGGTTTTTTTTCCCTCCTTTTCTTTCTGTTCTTTTCTCCCTGTCTCTTTTCTGTGTTAGTTTTTTGAATTCTAAACTCAGTTCTTACTGGTACTCATGTTTTTCTTTTGCCTTTGCCAAAGGGGGTCCTGGTCTTCATGATCCTTGTGAGCGAGACCCAACAGATGCTCTGAGCTATATGACCATCCAGCAAAAAGAAGATATTACCCACAGTGCACAGGTAGAAGATGGGGATGTATCACTGTCATCTATTAGAGGGGTATCATAACTTCATTTTCTGAATTGTTTAAACACTTTTTTCTTGCCAGCTGGTAGGGACTTTTGCCATCATGATAGCATTTAATAAATGTATTTTTAGCTACTTGTTCTAAGGGCTTTTATGAATGGTCATTGAACTTTGAACAAATATATCTTTTGTTCTTTAGCATGCGCTCAGACTATCAGCCTTTGGCCAGATTTATAAAGTGCTGGAGATGGACCCCCTTCCATCTAGTAAACCTTTTCAGAAATATTCCTGGTCAGTTACTGATAAAGAAGGTAAGTGTGAACATTTTGTTTTGGGGCTGGTCATGGGCAGTATTGGAGATGTCACGGGATTCACCTCTTGTTAGAGCTGAGGGAACTTAATAATTGTTAATGCAAGTATATACAAGACAGTTTTTTGCTTGTCTTCCTCTCTTTCTGTCCCATCAGTAATATCATTTATTCTTAGTGACCAACTCACTAGACTGTGTTGACCAGATTCCATTACTGCACAGATTCTTGCACTTTGAGAAACCCTGGTCTAAGGAGAATAGATATGCCACAAGCTAGGAGGAGATGATATCACTGTCACTGATCACTTTGATGATTTTTGTCATACTTGCAAGTGTTATATAATCAAGAAAGAGAAAACCAAAATAATAGAGGAGGAAGAAAGTAAATGGAAAATTCTGGACTGTGTTCAATTTGTACTACTCTGTCTGAACTCAAAAGAATTTCACCAGAAAGAGGCAGGCTTTGGGGTCAGTATGACCTGAGTTCCAGTAATACCTCTACTACTTATTAGTTTTGGCCCTTGAGCAATTAGTTCATCTCTGTGTAGGAATGTTATCCCCACTCGATTGACTATTCTTTGATTAAAATGCTTGACTCAGTGCCTGCAATACAGCCATTTACTCTCCTTGTTATGCCACAAAAAACATTTCCTTTTCCTTTTCCTTCATCTCCTCTTATACTAGAAGGTTGGATGTTTAACACCAGTTATATTTTTTTACCTGGGACTCAGTGCACCTCCCACAATTAATATTATTCTCATAATTTTTATGTGACAAAAATTGTACAATGGTCCAGTCTATTTTAGATTACATAATTCTAGTGAGTCTAAAACTTCAGGAAGTCCTCAAAATCAGAACAGTTTCATAATAATACTAGCTTTTTTTTACCTTTCCACTCTTTCATGAATGTACAGTTTTCCATAAGATACATGCGATGTGATGGGATCATCACTCTGATGGCTATTGGAATGTTTTTTTGAATATTCTGTATTAAATTTTTGTTTTAATTTCAAATATGCTAAATATTGATAGATATTACCCACAAAGAAAGCTTTTTGAGTGCTCAATAATTTTTTTGGTCCTGAGACAAAAACGTTTGAGAATCATTGCCTTACACTGTAAACTCCCCAGGTAAGGAACCCTCCAGATCCTACCCTACAACTGTTAACACCAGTGCTCAGTGAATACCTATGGAATGAAAGCCATTTTCTTTTAGAGGTTGCTCACACAGTGGTAAAGAATTTTTGAAAGGGATTCACATTGCCATGTGACATGAAGCACTGTTTATGAATGAATGGTCAAATATAATTTTCAAATATATTTGGAGATTCTTAAGATTAGTATGGAAAGTTGTATTCCAGTCATTGAATTCATAGCAACTTTTTGTATTTTTTCTTTTACTATAAGATAGTAAAAATATATATTTTTTTGTATGTGCTCTTACATACTTTTGGCTTTGTTGATCATTTTTGGTATATGCTTATATTTGATTTCATTGATTTCTGCTCTTATCCTTCTATTTTTCCTCACTACCTTCTTTGGGCTTAATTTGCTGTTCATTTTTTAACTTTTTGAGATAGATGAACACATTATTGTTTAAAGGCTCTTATTTTACTATGTATACTGTTAAGACTGAGTTTTCCTTGAAGCCCAGATTTATGTGCATTATGTTCTTTTGATATAAGTATTTTCATTATCATTTAGTTAAACTGTTTTTTATTTTCCCTTATCTTTTACACATGAACCATTTAGATGTCATTGTGTAATAGCCAGACAGAAGAGTATTTTGTAGTGTGACAATCAGATTTCAAAAGCATAAGATTTAATGTGGACTTAAAAAATTTATATGAGTAATAAATACTAAATTATAGAAATTTTGAGAAGACATAAGTAAATATAAATTGTAATGCCAGAGATAACTAACTTCAACATTTCAACATACATCTTCTTAGGCTTTTTTCTGTTCATGCAGATGCAGATATGAATATATACGTAAATATTGTATGCATATATATAAATGGGAAAATAAATATTTATATAAAGGGATAATATTAAATTGTTTCATAAAGATTCACTTAGTTACATGACTTAGTTGCTGATTTTTTAGCTTTAGAGGTCTTAAAAGTTTAGGAACTGCTGGTCTATCTATTTATAGCTTAAAATAGACCCAGATTGTTTTCATTCAAACCCTGTCAGTTACTAGCGGTATGACCTAGGCAAATCATTTAACCTTGACCCTCCCTCATTCTTCTTCATGTTTTCAACACCCAGCTTCCTGGTATTAAAACTTAACCTTGTAATTCTTGGTGACTTCAATATGCATTCAGATGATTTTTTTCAAAATTCTGACTTCTTGATTCTCTGACTTCCTCTTCTACAAGAGAGTTGAGATTAGAAAGTATAATTCTTGAAAACGAGTATGGAGAGGTTATAGGTACTGTTACTTTAGATAAGGTATAGGGTGTGTCCACAAAATGGGTAACTGAGGTAAGATAGAAGACGACATCACTGCCACTGCTCAGAATGATGTTCTTTGTCATGCTTGGAAGTATTACATAACCAAGAAAGAGAAAACCAAAATATAGAGGAGGAGGAAAGTAAATGGACAATTCTGCACCATGTTCAATTTGTACTAGTCACTCTGCACTCAGAGTTTCACCAGAAAGATGACAGCCTTTGGGGTCAGTATAATCTGAGTTCCAATTCTGACTGTGGTTAAAATCCAACTCTGTGTCTATACCAAGATTGCTGAACATTTTTGGGAGAAAAATTGCACAGTCATCTTGACTATTTTGCCTTTAAGTCTCGGACATTAACCGTAAGTATATATTTGTGACATCTGGCAATCCTATAATTTCCAGAGTTTTACAGTTTTCCTCGATACCTGTTTCACATCTTCTCTCATACCTCCTCTTCCAACCTCTCACTCTCATCTGATGAGCTTGTTTGCTGAAAGTACTCACGTACTTTGCCCTCCCTTGACTATGGACAAACTGTTCAGGCTCTTAGACCAACCTTTCTACTTGGGGTCAGGTCAGTATGATGGAGTCAGTATTATCAGCATTTCAGTTCTTACTCAATTCTAACTGACTATTCCATCACATCCTCCCTTTCTACTGGATCAGTTTCATCAGCATAAAAATCTGATGTAATATCTCCTGTTTGAAAGACAAAACCAAATTCCCCCTTGATTCTGCAGCTTCCTCCAACAGATGCCCATTTCTCTGCTTCTCTTTATGAGCAGTGCTTTTGGAAAGAGTGGCCTATTCTTTCTTTTACACTTATTCTAATCAGGCTTTCTTCCTCACTACTCTACAGAAGTCTGTCTTGTGACAGCCTCCGTGCTGTTATGTCTAGTGGTTAGTCTTCAGTCCTCATAGCCAACTTGGCAACATTTGAGATAGTCGGGCACTTTTTTTTCATATTAATTTTATTATGAGATAGAGCACATACATAAAAAAGTACAAAAAGTATTTAAAAAGTTCCAAGTACCAGTTAAAAAATAATTATTAAAAAATTTAATATAATTACCACCCTGGTTAAGAAATAGAACATTGTCAGCTTCTCAGAAGCCATGTATTTATCTCTCCATATCAACTTCCTGAACCACTACTGAACGACCATTAAACCAATGGTAGCTCATGAACTACCCTTCCAGACTTTTTGATAATCACTTCTTCAGTTTTCTTTGCAGCTTTCCAACCTGCATATGCTTTCCTAAGCTATTTTGATATTATCTAGAACTTTATAGAAAGAGAATTATACTAAGCTTAATCCCTTGTGAGTGACTTCTTTCTGTCCAGTATTGTCTGGGATGCATTCATGTTGTCTGTTTATTTTAATAGCTATATAATGTTCATTATGAATGTACTATAACTTTTCCTTTCTACTTTTGAAGGACATTGGGGTTCATTTTTTGGTAGTACCCATAATGTTGTTATGAGCATTCTCATACATGTCTCCTGGGTTATATATCCAGGGGTTACTATAGGCTAATATATAAAATAGTAAATGGCTACGTATACCAGTCTACACTCCCGCCAACAGTGTGTGAACATTCATGCTGCCCTGTATTCTCGAGAACATTTGGTATTGTCAGATACTTTTTTCTGACAGAAATACTACTTTTCATTTGACTTTTAGGTCATTGCTTTCTCCTGGTTCATCTAGCTCCACTGCCTCTCCTCAGCGTCTTTGGTTGTTTCTGTCTATCTTCCTGGCTACTGAATATTAGAAGTGTCTCAGGGTGCAGTCTGCAGACTTTTTTCTTTATTCACACCAGCTCTTTAGGAGATTTCATCTAGTGTCTTCCCATTAAATACCTCCTGTTCACTTAAGCTTCTGAAATTTGTATCTTCACTATAGAGTACCAGCCCTTGACTGCAACCCCAGATGTCCAAAGGCCTCCTCAGTGTCTCCATGTTGATATCTAAAAGATATCTCAAATTCAAGATGTGTAAAATCCAAATTCCTATCCTTTATCTGTAATCTGATTTTTCCATAGTTACCCCATCCCAGGGATTGGAAACTTACTCAGGCCAAAAACTTTCACCCTTGAATCCTCTTTCTTTTACCCATGCCCAAACCATTAGTAAATCCTGTCTGTTTTAACTTTCAAAGTATGTCCATGATTCAGCTGCTTAAGTTCTTTACTGCCACCATCCTGGCCTATGCCTCTATCATCTCTCACCTGGGTTATTGTAATATCTTTCCTGTCCTGTTTTCCCACTTCTGTCTTTGTTCCTATTGTCTTTTCTGAACAAAGCAGCAGTTCTTATCTTAAAATAATTACACATTCACAGAAAATTGCAAAGGTAGTAGGAGAGATCCCATGTACCCTTCTCCCAATGGTTATATATTATGTAACTGTAGTACAATATCAAAACCAGGAGACTGACATTGGTAGAGTGTGTGCTGATATGTTTGTGTAAATTTGTGTAACCAGCGTAACAGTACATAAGGAAGTCTTCCATTACCACTAAAGTCTCCCTCATGCTGCCC